CAACCGTTTTGATCCGATTTAGGGTTTTCATAATGTAACCTTTTCCACATACCTAAATCGTTCTTCTTATCCTTTGGATCAGGGACCTTTTTTCCTGAGTTCTCAGCTTTCCATGACCTAGATCCTATGGTGCGAGCCATGCGGGTATTCTTGGCACTCGAGCTCTTCAATTTGGTGAAGAAATAAAGGTCTTCACCATCTTCTAATTAGTTTCTACCAAATTGGTTCCATATATCCCACGGCTCTATTCGACCATAAAGATCAAATTCCTGAATAGCATTTTCATACTTAAACGATGAGCCACAAACCTTGTTAAGAACATAATATCCCAACAATTCTTCATCATTTGGACGAAACTTGAAACCCATAGGAATATTATTAGGTGCCATAGAAACTAATTGATCAAATAAAGAGAGGAGAAAAAAAAAGTTTAGGGCTATTGAGATGAGAACAAGTGCGAAGTATCGATCAAACAAAGAGATGAGAAAGAGAAAAAAAAAAAAAAAAAGTTTAGGTCTACTGAGATGAGAACCCTAAATCAAGTGCGAAGTCTCGATCAAACGAAGTAAAGTGTGGAATTTTGACTAGGGGGATGCACATATTTATAGCATAGGAAGGGAATGATGTTGAGTTGGCTTTCTTCATGTGGCCTATACGATATCACTAAACCCAGGTTCTGGTTTGTTACCGTTGCAAGAAACAAAATCAAATCTTGTTATTTGATTGCGTGATGCTTTGGAACTACTCATAGAACAAAATATCGATAATTTCGCCAATATTTCAGCTAAATTATCGTTATTTTGGGGCAGCGATATTTTAGCACATTTCCATATATATATCGATAATTTCCTCGATAATTTCGCCGATATTTCAGTAACGATATTTTCGTTCAAGTTGCAGCTTTAAATGGACAATATATCACGATATTATTGATAATATCGCGATATGAACTTACAAAATTAAACTCAGCCTTCATATGAATCCCTCAGCCTCCGAAACTCAGCCTTTCTCTGTCTCTCAACTCAATCTTAACTCAACTCAAAAAAAAAATAAAATAAAATAAAATAAAATAAAAATAAAAAAGCAGAAAGAGAAGGGAAGAAGAGGAAAAAAAAAATTATGGAGTGGGTTTTTATATTTTGCTGTTTTGGATTGTGATGAAGTGAGAGAGAAGAGGGAAGAGGAAGAACAGAAAGAGAGGGAGAGAGACGGAGAGATAGAAGAAGAAAAAAAAAAGTAGATAGAGGAGAGTGAGAGAGAGAAGGGAAGAAGAGGGAAAAAAGGTATGGAGTGGGTCTTTATGTTTACTGTTGTGGATTGTGATGGAGGAGAGAGAAGAGGGAAGAGGAAGAACAGAAAGAGAGGGAGAGAGACGGAGAGATAGAAGAAGAAAGGGAGAGAGAGTGTGTGTAGAATAAATAAATAAAATAAAAAGGGAGAGATGGGTGAATGCCCAAGAGAGAGAGAGAAGGCAGGTTGCGTGTATCTTCAACCTTGGGAAGTTCAGACAAAAAAAGGGAATAAAAAAACGTTAGGAAGTGGGAGAGGGAGGTAGGGAAACGTGAAAGTACTTGGGAAGTGGGAAATGTGACTTAATTACTTAATATAATTTATTTCTTTTCTATTTAATCCATTTAATGTTATTGATTATTTTATTATTCATTATAAGTACTTACATTACTAAATTCTCCTTCAAATTGTTGCTTAATTACTTAAATCTCTATAATCATTTTCATTATTTGCTATTTAATTCTTCCTTGGATAAATTTATTTATGTTCTTAGTTAATTTTCAATCTTCACTATTATTTTTTAAGCATGGTAAAGTGCCTAATTTTCATGAAAAATCAAATTGGTTTACATCTTTAATTATTTTTTAATTTTTGATAAATAATAAATATAAAAACGTGTACCATGTCCAATGAATAACGGGAAATCAATTGTTGCTTAATTACTTAAATTTCTATAATCATTTTCTTTATTTCCTATTTAAGTCTTCATTGGATAAATTTATTTATGTTCTTAGTTAATTTTCAATCTTCACTATTATTTTTTAAGCATGGTAAAGTGTCGAATTTTCATGACAAATCAAGTTGGTTTACATCTTTAATTATTTTTCAATTTTTGATAAATTAATAGATATAACAACGTGTACCATGTCTAGTGAATAACGTGAAATAAGGTTACTCATGTATCTTATCATGCAATTTATAAAGTGTAAAATATTGTACTAAAAAATGATAAATAAATTACTAGGGACTGTTTAATTCTCTTTCATTAAAATTTTCTAAGTCACAGAATTTATCAGGTCGCAATATAATCAACTTAAATCACACAAACCCACTATGCAATGCATTTCCTTCCAATTTTTTGTGTCAAAATAATAAATGATTGACTAAATAAACTTCTTCTAAAGTTTCATTAAAAATTTCAATGTATTTATCATGATTTCCGTGGTTTTTATCCAATTTTTATCGATATCGATATTTTCCCGATATTTCCATCGATATTTCCGTATTTTTGAACCACCGATATTTCCGAAACTATCGATATTTAAGACCTTGGAACTACTAATACTAAACTGTCGTATTCTTTCAAGGCTTTATCCATTTTTAAATTTAATTATTTATTCCAGCTGTAATCACAGTGGCTTGAGAGTCTTTTATTAGAGTCTTTTATAGGGGTTTCTACTTCTGCGCAATTAAGCAACAACACATCCCTTGTTTTTGTATCTGTCACATTTGCCACAATGATTGGTTACTTTCTCCACATTTTTCATTCTTTATCACTCAACTACTTACTGACTTCTACTAAGTCGGCAACTTTGCTTTGGACAAGTCGGTTGCACAGTAACTAACTTTTCCAAAGCCATTCTCAGTCACAAATTGTCTTCTAATTCTAGATTTTTCTAGTTAAAATACAATATATAATTAGTAGGATGTTTCTAGTGACTTTAACTTGTCAACTTCTCTCAATTTTTCTAGATTATTCTATATTATTCAAGACACAAGTGTGCATTAATTTTAACACTCCTCCTTAATGCACATTTGTGTTACTTCGAGCATGCTTTGTAGCAATTCGCATTTTGGTCTTGGAAGTGCCTTAGTGAAGATGTCTGCGATTTGTTCCTTTGTCTTGCAATACTTGAGCTCAATTTCTTTATTTGTTGAGACTTCTCGTAAGAAGTGATGCTTGATCGCGATGGGAGGAAGGGCCTCAATGACATGTGCAAAGACTAAAAACTAGGGCAAGCAATCTAAATCACCATACATGGGAAGGTAACACAAATATTATTTATTTACTTTCCAACATACAAGCTAACTTTGATGATGAGTGAGAGTTGGGGAGAAGACAAGGAATTATGTTTTAGAGAGGATGAGAAGGGAAAAAAGAGTGTAGGAATGTTGTATGGATGAAAACAGTGAAAGGAGTATGTGGTGGGCTACATATTACATACGAGATAGAAACCCACCTGAACAAAATTGCATCTTAACATGAAAATCAAAAGAAGTTAACAAAGAAATCATAAAACAGACCAAATATTTCAGTTTTAGAACCACCATATCAAACACAGAAATCAACAAAATACATCTGAAAGAAGCATATGATTTTTTTATAATTTTTTTAAAATACATATTTACTCCTATATAAATTCATATGTGTTCTAGACAACATCCAAGCATACATGATTAACCATATAAAAATTGATGCATATTTATGAAAAAAACTCTTCACTAGAGATACTCAATCTTAAAAACTTCAGGAAGGTGTATAAACTCACAGGTTATTGGATTGCCCGCACAATAACAGGGCCATTGATGAATGGTTTGGAACGAATAACAGGGCCATTGATGAATGGTTTGGAACGGATAACAGGGCCATCAACTTATGTCCGTGTGCAAGTGTGTGTCTAATAGAGATATTCCTGCATCTGACTGATAACAGTCCAAACAAATTATGCAGAGGACCAATCGCATTACCATTCAACCAATTCACTCCTTCCCAATTTTCTCAGTATCTCAAGAGCAGTGACTCTATGGATAAAAGAACTAGTCTACAAATAAGACACAGATCACGGACAAATAAATTATGCCTACAAACTACTTCTACATAAACATAACACAAAAATGCTCCATAACCAAGGGGATGAGCCTAAATTGCAGGTAATGTGACGCATGACACTTTGCCGCCCTTGAATGAAACTAAAACCTCCATTCTAATAAGAGCAGAAATGCAACCTAATTGTTAAGAGCAGGGGTTTTGACAAAAAAAAAGTTACATGTTTGTGGTCGCATTTTTTGAGATGTTTTTTTGTTTCCAGTTTCAATTTTCTCATTGTTTGGACGAATGCCACGCCCTAGTCTTATGACAACAACTTAAGCAATAATAGAAAACTTCAAACAGTTAAAATGCTGGAAGTCACTCTTCTTTCACATCCGTGCAAACAGCTATTTTATTTATAGAACCCTGAAATCATTTTGTTCCAGAATCCACAACTGACTGATTTAAATCGAACTGAAAGAAGCCTATGATTTTTATTTTGTTCTTAAGAATAATTACTGCTAAAGAAACAATGATATGCTATATTTCTTTCTTACGAACAGCGATATAATATATGACCCAACGAAAAATGAGAATTTCATTGTACCAAATGATCAAAACAAAGAACTAAAACAACAATTGCGAAGAAGATACAGAGATTAAAGCCTAAAAGCATAAAACAGTGAAAGAGGGCTTGGAAGTGAGAGAATTACCTGCAGAAATGTAGCCTACTTCAACTTTCAGAGTGCGTGTGTGTGTGTGTGTGTGTGAGAGAGAGAGAGAGGGAGACCAAACTTGCCAGTTCATGAAAGGAAATAGAGATCAAAGTGGCATGTTTGTATTATTTGCTCTATATTAGGTTCAAAAAATCAATAGAATAATGTATTACAATTTACACCAGTTCATGAAAAAGGCTTTCATAAAATACAATTGAGTTTCATATGTAAACAATAAAGCTAAGCTAAGCTGCACCCATTATAGCAAAAGTTGATGGTTTTGGGCTTGGAACCACATGCCTTGACATGAGCTTCAGAGGAAGAATCTCCTGCTCAGAAAAACCAACATTTTCTTGAGCCATCTCCTCTGCATCTTCAGACTTCCAACTTCCAAGGGGTATGAAGCTAGGACAATCCGGAACAGAGGAAGCCACTGCAGAAGACACTTGCTTAATTGGTTTAACCTCTCCAACCCCATTATCCAGTTTAGTCATAAATGGGTGGTTCAAGAGCATAGCAGCAGTAAACCTCTCTGAAGTGTTCCACATAAAGCAACATTGCAAGAAATCTTTAGCCTCTTTTGATAACCAACCAGGAATGGCAGGAATTCTTGAAACAAGCAGGGCAGTTAACAGGTCCCGAACGTCAAATACGGCGCCAGGTGTGAAATTCCATGGATGCCTCCCAGTTAGTTTTTGGTCTGAGTGGACACAATTGTTTAGATGTTTTTTGTTTCCCGTTTCAATTTTTTCATTGTTTGGATGAATGCTATGCCATAGTCTTATGACAAACTTAAGCAATAATAGAAAACTTCAAACTGTTAAAATGTTGGAAGTCACATTTCTTTCACATCTGTTCAAACAGCTATTCTCTGGATCAGTGAAAGTAACAGATATAAGACCCAATAAAAAATGAGAATTCCAGTGTACCAAATTATTAAAACGGAGAACTAAACAATTGCGAAGAAGATACAGAGATTAAAGCCTAACAGCATACAACAGTGAAAGAGGACTTGGAAGTGAGAGAGTTACCGGCAGAAATGTAGCCCTACTTCAACTTTCACAGAGAGAGAGAGAGAGAGAGAGAGACCAAACTTGCCAGTTCATGAAAAAGCTTTTGAACTTGCCAATATAGTCAGAAAATGTACATCAATGAAACAGCAATACCAAACTGAAAAGGAAATAGAGATCAAACTGGCATGTTGGTATTATTTGCTCTATATTAGGTACAAAAAAACTCAATAGAATAATGTATTACAATTTACACCAGTTCATGAAAAAGGCTTTCATAAAATACAATTGAGTTTCATATGTAAACAATAAAGCTAAGCTAAGCTGCACCCATTATAGCAAAAGTTGATGGTTTTGGGCTTGGAACCACATGCCTTGACATGAGCTTCAGAGGAAGAATCTCCTGCTCAGAAAAACCAACATTTTCTTGAGCCATCTCCTCTGCATCTTCAGACTTCCAACTACCAAGGGGTATGAAGCTAGGACAATCCGGAACAGAGGAAGCCACTGCAGAAGACACTTGCTTAATTGGTTTAACCTCTCCAACCCCATTATCCAGTTTAGTCATAAATGGGTGGTTCAAGAGCATAGCAGCAGTAAACCTCTCTGAAGTGTTCCACATAAAGCAACATCGCAAGAAATCTTTAGCCTCTTTTGATAACCAACCAGGAATGGCAGGAATTCTTGAAACAAGCAGGGCAGTTAACAGGTCCCGAACGTCAAATACGGCGCCAGGTGTGAAATCCCATGGATGCCTCCCAGTTAACATTTGCAGCACAACACAACCTAACGCCCAAATATCAGAAGGCTGCTGTTGAATTCCATAAACCACAGCTTCTGGAGACAAATACATTGGTGTGCCTCCAAAGGAAGGCTTCTCCCACTTCTGATTTGCCTTCTTTGTGAGCCCCAAGTCTCCGATTTTCGGCACAAAACGAGCACCACCAGAGGAACCAGCGGCATCAGACACAAGCAGAATATTCTCAGGCTTGAGATCACAATGCACAAAACCCCTTTCGTGGATGTACTTAATCCCTTTCAAAATCGACTCTGTATACTTTCTGACTTGGAATTCACGCAACCCAAAACCCCTTGATTTCTCAATCAAATCCGCCATTGTTCCTCCATCCGCGTACTCCAAGAACACATTGAACAAATGACGGCCATCAGCGCCAATCGTCTCATCCTCTCCATAGCAGTTAATAACAAAAGGGCAGTGACGAAAAATGTAAAGAAGAATATCTTCCCCCATCAGATCATGCGCCTGAGATGCCAATGTCGATTTCACGGCCACAATCCTCGGCACACCCTTCAAACACAACCTGGGTTTTTTCACGAAACCCAAATAAACCGACGCGAATCCGCCTTGGCCGAGCATCGGCCCTCGATCCCACTCGCAGCCACTTAGTGAAACTGTCAAGTAATGATCTGCATCATCTGAAGAATCGTCTACAACTATTATCTGATCATGGGTTGCTCTTTTTCTCTTGAGACCCGCCATTGCTTTTGTACACTTTGTTCAAAAGTGAAGAACAAAGCTTTTTTCAGAAGATACAAAGATTCTGGGTTGTAGAAGAAGAGCAGAACTTGTGGGCTAACAAAAACAAAAGAGACGACGTAGAACAAGAGCAGAACTTGTGGGTTGTAGAAGAAGCAGGGGAAGCAGATCGCAGATCGATTGATGAACGAACAAGTCGATGATGATGATGATATGAAGAAGAGAGTTGGAATTGAAAGAAACCCTTCAGGCTTTACGAAAGATCTGCGTATTCTTGACGATATTGGGGTTTTTCGAAATCCAAGTTTCCCTTTCCTAGTTGCGTTGGGAAATTGGGTATATATAACTTTTCAACGGTCATTTTTTTTCTTTTCGCCGAGGCCATTTATTGCGGTCTAATTAATAATCCAATAAAATATATTATTTTTCTCTTTTTTGAAGTCAAATTTGAAATAGATTGGTAAATCTGAAGGTACTCTCATCAGTATTACAGCTGTGAACTTATTTGTAATTTAAATCTTTTTACATTTTGTCGCTGTTGTATTTATGATGAACTTAAAACCTAAACATTATCATCCAGGACCACCTCGTGGTTCAAACCAAAAAAAAAAACCTAAACATTATCCATTTTATCTAAAAATTGTTTCTAATTCGTTAAAAAGAAGGAGTAATGCTATTTAGACACACAATATTGACCACTTTATGTGGCAGCTAATGTGGTCATGCCATGTCAATTAATGAATATTGTCATATAAATTTTATTTTTATTTATTTCCTCTTTTTAATTTTCACTAAATGGAATGGTAGTACGGGTCTTTTCAATTTGAACACTTAAAAATATTAAGTACTCATACATTTATAAACTCCACCACTATACTCTAAGAAAAGGGCCTACTAAAATTGAAAGGTTCTAACCCCAAAGGCAAAATGATCATCACGTATTTAAAATTAAATAATTAAATACAAAAATTTGCGACGGGTCGTTACATGTTGGTAATTTCCCACACCTTAAAAAAATTAAAAATTCAGTCATATAATAATTATCAAAGAATTTTGCACATGTACCACTTGGACTATTAGGAAACTCTCTTTTATTCCTAACTAACCTCTCTGTATACGCTTCTGCGCTTTTGAGAGTATTTTTTTTAAAATTAAAATTTATTTTAGAATTAAAAAAGATAATGGATTGTGTTCCATAAAAATATGATCCATTATCTGATTTTTGTTTTAATTTTAATTTTTTTTTATATGTAACCAATGACATTTTCTGGTATTTTGAATATTTCATCATTCTCTGCCTTTTGCTTTATATATATAGATATATATTAAACCCTAGAATTTGGAGTGTAAGTCAGATTGGAAAATCCGATTTAATATATATACTAGCCTCTCCGCATGCGCTTCCGCGCCTGCGAGAGTTTTTTTTAAAAAAAAAATTAAAAAAAATTTAGAATTTTTTTTTTTAAAAAAAAAGGGTAGTTGGTTTCCATAAAAATATGACATATTATCTAATTTTGTTTTAATATGAAAAAAAAAATTATGAATTAACCATATTATCCTCATTTAAGTAATAATTTCAATTCTTAATGTTTGAATTAACCAATGGTATTTTATAGTATTTTGCATGTTTCATCATTCTCTACATTTTGCTTTATATATATATATATATATATTAAATCCTAGAATTAGAAGTGTAAGTCAGATTGGAAAATCCGATTTCAACCGATTTCGGTCCGAATATTTCCAAAAAAAATCCGACTCTGATATATAAGATATCCGAAAATGCCAAATCTAATAAATAAGACCCACACCATTCTCGAACAAGAAAGCTTGAGGATTTCCACATTATTCTTAATGCATTTGGTCTGTTCAAATGAGACCCACACCATTGTCGAACTAGAAAGCTTGAGGCTTTGCAAGCACAGGTGAAAAGTCAAAACCAATTTCCAGTTTGAACCATTTTCAACTCACACAACCCCTGAACCATGAACCCGCCAAATGAAGACGACACGTCGTACGATATTTGATTAAGCACTGGTCCATTAAAAATGAGACACATGGAAGGTAGCCAAGCTGTTCGATTCTTCATCCACTCAAATTTTTCTTAGCTTTCCCATTTCTATGACATGACAGTAATAACTGATGGGCATGAGGAAAGGCACCGTATATTATATTTGATTTGCAGATAATAATTTCCCGTTGAACTGAAAACTGATGTGGTATAGAACAATTGTGTCGGGCTTATAATTGTACCCTCTTTTGAAAAAAGAAAAATACAAGACTGAAAATGATAGATTCACCTCCACCGAAAATTCTACGGTGGACTTGGTGCATGGATTCGACAGGTTTTATTGGCCGTTAGATTTAGCTAAAATTTAATGGGTAAATCTACACCATTGAATTGATAATCTTAAAACCTATTCAACAGGTTTAAAGAAAATTCTCAACCCGTCAAAATTTACGAAAATTCTGCAGTGAACTTGGTGCATGGATGCGCCAAGTCCTATTGACCATTTAGGGTTTAGGGATGCCCAAATTTGAAATAGCTTCGTAAATCTGAAGCTACTCTGATCAGTAAGTATTACAGGCTGTAATTATAGCACCAATACAATACATTTTTCTTTCTATTTTATTTGTAATTTAAATCTTTTTAGAAATTTTTTTTTTTTTTTTTGGTCGCTACTCCCTTTAAGTCTTTTTTTCTCTTTCTCAGCTTTGCCTAATGGACTGAAAATCAGTGACATTGACCATCTTTATTAACTTAAAACCTTATCTTTATCCATTTTATCTAAAATTGTTAATCCAGCTTTACTTTCTAACCCGTAAATAAATAAATAAATTGAGTTAATTTCAATTTATTATCCTGAATTTTTAACTATATTGCATGGTAATAACGGTATTTTCAATTTGACTTGGGCTTCATTGATTTCTCATCCAAAACCATTTGAATGAAGAAAGCTATCCCCTTCATGAGACTGGAATTGACCAAGGCCTGCCATGACAATTGCGATGGCTTTTTCCCTGTTCTGTTTTAGGTTTCAGAATCTAAGAGAAACCCTGATGGAAACAAAGAAACGATTAAAATGCACAATTTAAATTTGATCTACAAACACACAAATGAGTGCATGAGGGAATTTAAGGGTGGTTTTGGAGTGCCAAAATCACCCCTATATCATAACAAATTTCTAACCTTCCACGGCTAATCTTGCATTTCCCTCGCGAAAGGGATTTATCGGGAATTTTTCATGTCCATTCTTATTCAGGGAAAATAAAAATCAATTAATCAAGGGAGTGAAATTGAATTATTTCGAATTCCAATGTTTGAAAACGATGTTGAAAATAGTTGAGATCGTGCACTGGTGTAAAGTTGTGAGCAAGTGTCTTCTTCTAATGGATTATGATTCTCCTGCATCAGACTCATAACAAAGCAAACATTTCTGCAGAGGACAATTCACATTCCTATTCAAGTACCCGTTCACTCAACTATATCTCAATTTTTCTCATCAATCTCTACTCACTTTTGACCAATGCCCTGGAAGCACTAAACAAGTAAATTGATCTTAATCCATTTAAGAAGACGGAGAACCAGTGCACAAATAAAAATTGATCTCAGAACAATAAATTATACATGGGAACTACTTACATATAAGAAAAAGAAAAAAGAACATCAGTAACAAGTAAATGTTCAAAATCATATGCTTGCACGCTCAATTTACAGGAAAAGAGAGACAGTAATAGCTAATTACATGGAATGACCTACTGGATTAGGAAAAGAGAGAGAGTAATTACACCGATTCTGGTTCCTCGTCATAAACTAATGAATATGAAGCCTAATACACTATCAGAAACATCAACTTATGTCTGTGAGCAAGTGTGTGTCTAATAGAGAGATTCCTGCATCTGACTGCAAACAAATTATGCAGACGACCAATCTCATTACCATTCAGCCAATTCACTCTTTCTCAATTTTCTCATTATCTCAACACCCTTTTCGCCAATGGCCTAGAATTACTCACCTGTAGCAGTGACTCTATGATAAAAGAACTAGTATCCAAATAAGAAACAGATCATGGAACAATAAAGTATGCTTACAAACCACTTGTACCAAAAACATAGCACAAAAATGTTCAAAATGATGTGGTTGCAGCAGTTCCATTTGCTACATAATCAAGGGGATGCGCCTAAATTGTAGGTGATGTCATGTATAAAACCTTCCAAAGAACACATCAAATTCGTATGAACTTAGAGGAATTTCTAAAGGGAAAAAAACATCAGTAATAACCAATAGTATGAATCACATGAAACAATCTCCTTATTAAGGAAGTTTGAAGCGGTGAATTACTTTCTCTCCATTCCTGGTTTGATCTAATGTTTGGACTGCACATCAATGTAACCTTGCCCCGTCCTTGAATGAAATTAAAACTTCCGTTCTAAAAAGGACAGAAGTACAACTTAATTGTTAAGAGCAGGCAATTTGAGGAAAAATGTTGCATAGTTCCGGCATTTCTCCATAAGTACAATTTAAAACACATTACAGGAATTTCCATCACAACAATTGAAATAAACTCAAAGTTATATAGTCTTATAACAGCCACTTAAGCAATAACAGAAAACTTCAAACAGTTAAAATGTTGGAAGTGACTCTTCTTTCACATCAGTTCAAACAGCTAAGTGAAAGGACAAAAAACTAGTTCTACACCAATTAACTCAATGTCCAGGGCCAATTAACATTTTCTCTGCAAATTACATATTTGCATTACATTCAGGTTAGGGGGCGCGGGGTGTCCATAAAGTATTCAAGATTACAGTCCCCATTTTAGAAAATGACAACTGTTTCGTTCAAAATTGAACATGAAAGGAAGCAGCCATCAATTCCACTGTTACATCCTCAGAAACGCAAGCAAAGATACAGGATGACCCTTGAAAGGCAACCTCACAATCAAATCATAAACTGTGCTTCTCTTTACCACACAAACATGTGAAAATCTGAATTTAAGATGTCA